TTTGTTGAGTGGTGGAAATCAATCGAATATTCTAGAATCCAACTTCCAACAGTCCCACGTTTTCGCACGGACATCTGGTCTGAGCTTCTTCAGGGAAATAATCAAATCCCTGAAGAAGCTACGACTAGCCCTCCGTGCGAAAACTTGGGACTGTTTGATGTTTATGGATAAACATTTAGCGGATAAAAAAGATATATCCCATCATTGCCGTTTTCGTACCATCCGATGACAATCGTGAAACTAAATCACTTCCTTCCAGTATCAAAGAATGTTTTCATAAAAATGACATGACAAAAGCGAAAGTTCGACACAATCAGCAGATAAGTGTCACAGAGAAAGCACAATCAAGAGACCTGGCATTACTACAGAACGGTGAAAGTTCACAAAGCATGCCACCAACAAAGCACAACTGCGAGGAAAAAACGGAGCAGACATAACAAATAGGAAGTCACCAGAAGACAGCATGCAGGAATGACAATGCTCACATACACTTCAATCGTTGAAACTTCACACCCTATAAACTGACATTCTTTCTTCACAAAAATCTCTTCCCCTCCCTCTAAATTACTGAACTAGTGGCACCACAACACCAACCACGGCAAAACATCAACGATCGTCAAACACCTCAAACCTTCTCATATCCTCTAACTTTAATCAACATGCTTCAAAGACATATGGCGGAAAACAGCAAACTACAGCTCAGTGCACTCAACCTTTATTAGGCAATCGGATATCCCAACTGCACCATAAATACTTCAAGTTAGTCAAGTCCGATCAAACGCTTTCCATCCCTCCAGAGATTTCCTCGATCACTCAACCACCAGGGCTCATTCAACTCCCCATGTAAGTGAAGTGGTCAGCGCGCTCAATCACTTCACTCCCTACAGACTAACCAGGAAGACCACTCCTGGAGCCCGTGTCCAACACCACTCGACGTACGCAACTCACCATAAGCTCTGAAATCTTCACACAATTCCCAGTACAGAACCTTCAAAAGAGTGATGCACCTACCCAAAACACCCTTCAGTCAGATACACTGCCACAAGACCTCTCAAACGACGGAGTAGCCACAGTCCGTAAGTCTGTCTGTGTTGCAATACTTCCCAGAGGGTGAATATCTTTTCCATATACCACCACTGACGAAATCTGAAACCTGACTGGTTTTATCGGATTCCATGCTTCCAATTTCCACTGCCATCTATAATGACTACACAAGCAAGAATCTTCAACATTTCCACCACACACTTTCACCTCTGGTTATCACTGGAGAACTTCTCGATTCAGTGATTCAGACCAGTCAGAGGGGATCATACTTCATTCCTAAATACTAGCTAACAATTAGGTTAACCTGACCTAACAAGTTAACCTCAACTACAATCCCTTAAATACCTCCCGTGTCAGTCCATCTGGTTTTGATGCCCTTCCCCTTCTCTGGTTACCCACAGCCATCTCAACCTCGGTAACACTTGGAGACCCCACCTCGATGTTTCATTCACAATCCCACTGGATAGTGGGCAGTGGAATGGTAGCTAAAGCTCAGATGGACTGATCATCGAAGGATTCCTCCCATCCTTCGAATTCCTTTCCCCTCTAAGTGAACTTCAGAAATGTCCTTCTGCGTCATTGTCTCACTATCCACTGACATCTCTGCCCTAACATTCCTGATACGTCTCAGTAACCATCTACCACTACCCAATACAACGGCCTTTGTCACCCCTTCATCAGCTTCGAGTCCCCACCATTGTTCATAGTCACTGCACCCACTGTATCAGTCCACATTTGGGTTGCTTCCGCTCTGCATTGTGCTCAGATCCAGCAGAAACGCGTTTACGTGCATATCTCAACTCCCCAGTTGAAATCCACTAACCTTTTTCACCCACTCTGCGACAAGCAGCTAAGGTTTTTAATGCTGTTTTTGTAGCAGATTGGAGATGACGGCAAGCTTCATCTGAATGAATAGTGTTGCTCCGTCCCGAAAACTCTCCAGTCCGCTTCATGCCGAAAGTAGCTTTAGTTTTCGATTTCTCGAGCTGCACTCGTAATGATCTTGTTGTTTTAGATTTCCTACATCCATTTAGGTGCAGAAACAGGCGTGTTCGAAAGATTTCATGAGCACTAGTTAAACGTGTCAGAGTGCGGTGGTCTCCTATGGATGTCTCTAGCAAAATCTTTTAGGAATTTGATCTATACATGTTTACTCCTGGGTTGAGATAATTGGTAGACATGCCTCTGTCTCTGTGAAATTTGGGCTGACCATAAATAGGTTGCTTTCTGTGCATGGTGGTGGCAGGGAATCACCATCATTTGTTCGTGCTGGTTGGATTTCGAATGTTTTTATCTGTCCTAATGGTGTTTTGAAATCACCTGCCACAACAACTCAGCTGTACAATCAGCTTCTGGTAGAAGGCTGGACAGTTCGTTGTGCAACGCATTCGATCTACAGTCAGTGTATGGATAAGCAGTGATTATAAAGCGAAAACGGTGAATTCAGCTCAGCAGGAATTTGGCCGTGTTCTTCTAGGTAATGACTGTGAAGTCAAATACATAGGTCAAACTAGCCGGTCGGGGTCAGTTAGATTAACAGAACATAGGAATTTAGCTAAACATAGAACGGCAGACCCCAATAAGATTAATAACCTAGAAAAACACTCGGCCATTGCATTACATTCATTAACACACAACCACACAATAGGATGGGACAAAACCACTGTACTTAAGTCTAATATAGCTAGGTGGAGAGAGAGATTAATTACTGAATCTTTGTTCATCGAGTCCACACCCAACACATGTAATAGGAATGACGCAACACCTATACCAGAGATATGGAAAACCTTACTACCAATCAAAAAACAAAAAAACAAAGAGAGATCAGATGACAGGACTATAAAATCAGATATCGAAAGAAGTGTGATTACATTGATATGATTATGAGCAATAATTTATGCTCGAAACGTAATCAATTAAATAATACTGTATCACTGTGCGCTTTATATCAAATAAACAAATCTAATATGGAATTACAATCCTGAATGAACTACGTGGTGATTGTGCAGATCTGCTATTAGGTGAAAGACTTTCCGATTTCGAATATACAGATGCGATCGTTTTGCAATGCGGCAATATACAGGCTAAGCAAATAGCCCACAATCCGTATCCGTAAGTTCTTCGGAAAACGTGAAAAGAGAACAAGGAAGAAGGATACAAAGATCAAATTCGATAAGGCGATTAAGATAAAGATACTAAGTAGATACAAAGGCCCCAATCAAATCGATTTTGAGCTATTACCCGGAGTCTTCAGTCACTAACTTCGGTCGACCTGCTGATTACCACCGGGAAGTCTACAAATCTCTACACAACTCAGAACCAGTAGTCATAAACTTCATGAACTGGTGCCAAATTTTACTCTAGTTTGATTATAATAATTCGAACAGTTTCAACAAGATGTAAATGTGGTAATTTAATACCTTAGTATATAATGCTGCACTGTTTCATTTGATACGGGCTGGTTTCGAACGCTTGAAAGAATACCAAAATCAGAATGTATGTCTAACCACCTGACTAGTTTCAGTCTATCAACAATATGATTGATCTCAAGTAAACCACTAATTCTTAACATGATCACGATAGCCGGCAAGTTAGGTAACACTTCCAATTGCAGGTCAAACTGATGGATGGCGACTTTATTGAAGCCTTTCCTACTTCACCTAAGTTCCTCATGACTGCTTCTGACTTTCGCCAACTTAAGGCACTTATGGTGCCAGAGATATCTGGTTGTCGGTTAAGGGCAAGGTGTACTGCGCTGAGATTCGCTCTGTTCCACTACAAAGGAGTGGAACGTGGCCATTAAGGTCAGAGGGCATGAGAAAGTTTCAAGTGTTGCACCGTGTCATAGTATCACCACGTCAGTAACGCAAAAACAAGGTGTAAAGTTTTAGGGGGGGGAGCGAAAAGTCAGTTGATAAGGCTGAGAACCTTCATCGCCTCAGGTGGCTGGAATATGTGTCACGTATGCCTAGTCACCAGTTGCCTCGTCATACAATGTTAGCTGAAATAGGTTCAGGCTTGAAGAAAGTTAAAAGTGGTCAGACTACAACATGCCATCATTGCGTTATGAGTGGTGTAGGGGAATGTAGACTTCCTGGTCGGGGTCCGCGTGACAACAGAAACTAGTGTTTGGAGACTAGATAGATATGGTTCAGAACTGATCGCAGCGGTGTGGATGTATCCACACACTATCTTCAGTTTAACCATTACTCGGAATCCCGTATTATCTTATTCTTCCTTCTTCTGATTTTAGGCCATTGACTGATTTTTTTATTATTATTTCCTTATCCTTTATTTTAGTGCATTTTCGCTTGATGTAGTGAATAAAATGTGGCAACTCAGAGTCTTATGCAGCAGTTATTGCTCCCATGTTGATGCCGAAGACGATTGTTTCCGAAACTAATTCACTCACAAGGGAACTAATGGCTAACACGATTGCTCTAGGCCAAAAGCGTGTGAAACTTGACTATCAGTATCAGATCATGATAAAGGGTAAACACATTTTAAAAAATAGTTTGTACATTTGGCCTCTCATTGAAGGAAAGCATTCATAGTAAAAACGACGTCTAACATCAACATCACTACATAGAACGCCAAAAAACAGTTGATTTAAGCTTCAAAGAACTTCCTAGCTTTTTATAACCAAAATGGTTGCAAAAGGTTTGAATTTCCTAATAAGTGCCTGAAATAAGTAAAACTATAATACACTTCAGCATACCACTGTCCTAAATCTTCGTCTATGGATCGGAATCAAGGGTGAAAATAAGGAATAACACTGCTTATCATCCAATTACTAATTTCAATAAGACCAGCAGTTTTCTCAATCAGTGAATGAATCTAATCTCGGAGACCAATCAGACCGTTAACATTATCTTGTTCAATATTACATCAAAGAACATAAAAACAATAAACAATGAGTCAAAATAACTTGGAAATTAAGAGTTCATTTATTTTAGCTAATCACTAGACTGATCATGCTCTTCATGAGCTCTAGCTGAAGCATTTGCACGTAAAACGTCACCAGGATTAGGGTATGGTCGCTGTTGAAACAATGGTCCAGAAGCAGTGATATCCACACCCGTCTTAGCTGACGGTGCTCCACTAATTCCCTCCAAACCTGAGCTCCATGTCCCACGTGGTACATCACCATAAGAAGCTGGATCCATGGGATCTAAAGGTCCAACAGTTGCTGCCCGACCTTCAAAAATATAAAATATACAGTTAATATTAGAAAACTACAAGTGACAATAATAGGAATAAGGGACTGGAATGCTTCCAAGAGAAACTGTGATTACAATATGGTTAAGTGGCGAAAAATTATTTGGTTGTGAGAAATGTTAAATCTTACCACATAACTTATGGATTTTGAAGCGTACAACGTACATTTAGTAGATATTTAGCAATCGTTGGGTAACAAGCAGCACTATAGAGCAGAGGATGTTTATTAAATAGGTCGCCAAAGTTAGCAACAAGGGAATATAAATTCATCTCAAACTCACATATACAAGGAAATTCATCGTATGATTCTGAAGCCCGGGACCTGCGAAAGTAATTAGCTTTTACATAGCTAGCTTTGTTACTCACTTTATATATGTGTATGTAAACAGTTGGTCACTTTGAAGCTTTAGGTTTTTTCATTTCGTAAGTCAACAAATCCTACTTATATCTCAAAGCAGCAGACACTTGGAAGATAGAGCAATCCTATAATCGTACTACATATGTTTTACTAACTACCATATGTGAAAAAATAACACTGACAGAACTTCGATGAAAACCTTGAAAGCGATGGGATAGTTAATCTATTGTTATCAAACAAGGGACATGGTATTACTCTTTAAGGCTAGAAGTCAATAACTTGTTAAGTAAGCTATCAGACGCAACCTTGACTTTGCTGAAATCAGCGATTAGTGAGTTCGATTATGATAAAAGTAGAAGACACAAAAGTGTTCATACCTTATCACATCCAAATTACATGTATATGTGGCTACCTACGTTTGCCATCTCTGAAGTGAGCATAGAGCACAATGCATCCTGCTAAAATCACAATTTTTCGAACATATAATGATTAAAATTATACTGGGTGGTGATTGAAGGCGAGATGAAAACCTGGACTGCGGCCGGATTCGAACCAGCGACCACCGGGTTACCGGCCTGGTGCTCTACCAACTGAGCCACGAGGTCCGACTCCTGACCAGATTTTTATTTCACTTCAATCACCAAGGGTTTTGCCCGACTATCAGCAGTCGGACCTCTTAGCCCAGTTGGTAGAGGACCGGGCCGGTAACCCAGTGGTCGCTGGTTCGAATCCGATCGCGCTCTAGATTTTCATCTCACCTCCAATCATCACCCAGTATAAATACTAGTCTACAAAAATACGGCTATCTCAGATAGTCAAATGATGATCAAAATTACGTTGAAATTTATGGTAAAAATAACCGTACAAACCCTCTTCATTTCACCATAAATATATTTGGGATGAATATTTACAAATAAGGATAAATTACTCAGTTTTGGTAATATTTCCATCAAAACTACAACCTATGATCACATCAGTTGCTGGAGTTGCTTCCTAACACATCTACTGATATCGCATAAATAGTGTCTTTATCGTATACGTATTCCCCATTTTCTACCTAGGACACTATGTCCCACGTGGAAGACAATTGTGCTGAGTCACCTTTGTTGCATGTGTTAGGGATGACATGTGAACGAAACGAGAGCACCCACCTTGTGAGCACCTGTGCAATAGGCAATGAGCCACACTAATTGTGTATGGGCGCTAATGACACTATCTGGCTGCCCGAATCTCGGCAGGTGGAATGGAGCTCGGATCCGTGACCTAATGGTTAATAGTCACCTCCGTAAACCACTGAGCCACAACTCCACTGGGATGGCATGTATGAATATGGATTTAGTCACCAACCTCCACTTGCTTAGCACAAGTGTCAAAAAAATGGAACTTAGTAATGGATAAGAAAATGACAAACGCTCAAAATAAAAAGGTTGAAGTGAGATTAAGGCCTGGTCAGAAGATGGATCTCGTAGCCCAATTGGTACAGCACCGGGTCGGTAACTCAGACGTCAGTGATTCGAGTCCTGTAGCAACCCAAGCTTCCATTTCACCCTCGGTTATCACGCAGTATCAGAAATACCAGTTTGTCAGATCAAAGGTATCTCAGACATTTTCACTGATAAAATGAGAAGACCATATACGTGATATCAAAGTGTAGATGTGTGAATAAGTAATTCCAACGACTGGTGTGATCACGGGCAGTAGTTTCCATAAAATATTACAAAAATTGCTTGTAAACATTCATTACAAATATACTTATAACAAATTGGTTCTCTTAACAATGCATAAACTTTTTTATGGATATAATTAATACATCTTACGTTTTCTATCCCTGTCTCGATTTCTTGAACGCCCTTCTAATGCTTCTGCATGCCGATCCCATTGACGTGAGATGTTGTGATTACCATCCTCAGATTGATCATTTAGCTGAGCTGCAAACAATGAGGGTGGTTCAAGTGGTCGGTTCCATTGAGTACACGAATACGCTGGGGGATGTGCTGGTGGTGTTGGAGGAGGAGGTGGTGGAGGATCGTTTTTAGAATTTTGTGGATCAGAATTAGCCACAATATTTGGATTATTATTATTATAATAATCTTCCGTCAAAGGAACTCCATCAGGATACTCGTCATCCTCATCGACTTCTTCCTCCCTTAATTGACCATATTCGGTAATATTAGTTGGATTCGATGATTTTCGTGTTTGGGTTTCACGGTCATTCAGTGTTTCATTTTGATCATAATAGTCACTAGATGAGTGTTTCTGATAACTATTTTCGAACTGAGAATCTTGCCAGCGAGAAGTGTTTCGTCTGTATGAAGTTCTGTCTGCATCCTCAGGTGATCTTGATATTTCACGCCTAGACCGCTTGGAATCTTTTAGCTCCTCATCAGAGTCATCTTCGCTTCCACTAACTGATCGACTATTGTCAGAATCATTAGATCTGCGACGTGAACCTTTCCGTTCTGCAGCTAAAACTGCAGCAGTTGCAGCTTCAGCTGCAGCTCGAGCAGCATCACGTTCACGTAGCATATTTGCTCGAACAATACTACCAGGTTGACCAATTTTGGCACGTGGATGCAATGGAGACAGCCAACACACATCATCCGTTTTAGTGTTCCAGTAATAGAATCTATCACAGAAAAAGGTATTACCTCACGTATACCATATGAATGACATTACTGTAAATGATATTAGGTCAAAATAATGAGATAATGGAACTTATCTGTCAAAATTGGTTATCAGTTTCGACTATAGTGCAACAGCTAATAGTTCTGTTTGCTTCGAATTTACAAGGTATCAATAAAAATCTAATGTTCTAACCGATAATTCATAACTCTGCAGAAGCAGCTAAAATGATTAAGGATTCATCAAAAGATACTCAAATTGAGGACAGCTGATACTTCAGAAACATTCAGATGCCAAACAGTTTCTAAAAGTCCTATGGTAGTAGAAATGCCGATAAGAGATTGGTACTCCCACACGAGTCATAATAAAACACACTATGATGAGGTTGACAAAAGACGAACAATTCAGCGAAGAACAGGACGCGGAAGTGAAGCACTTTAATCTGCCACAACTCTAAATAGTGAATAGCAAAGGAATCGTACAATGGAAAAGAAATTCCAAGTGGACAGGGAATAGATATATGAAGGTTAGTAAAAATATGCAAATTTTCGAAGCTATAGTCTGAAGGGTTTCAAGACATAGCAATCGTTGATTCTTAACATTATGATGACTTTAGTCAGGTATTTTAAATATTCTAATGTGGCTGAGGTCAATAATTAAAGACTGCATGGAATGATTTCAAGCCTATGCCTTCTTCTAATCCAATTCTACCGTACTTAATATAGCACATCGAATGAGACGATGGATTAGTATAAACAACAAATATCCAAGGCAAATAAATCAGTGAAGGTCCACAAACTTATCGAATGACTTACCTACAGGCGCCAAGTATTCTACGCCTAACCTCAACATCATGGATATAGTGATTTGATCACAGGTGAAAAATTATACAACAGTGATGGTCAAAACCTGTAGCCTTCACCCTTCTTCCACTTTCAACGACCATACAAAAGGACGATGTACACAGTTGTCTAGCATACCGACCCATCATACGTAACCGAATTCCTTTACAATGCCATGAAAGGTGAGAGATGAAAAAGGCTAAGAGAGCCTTTTGTAGCCGAGATATTTTGGTCTAATCACCTTTCAATTCCTTCCAAACTAACAACGGTTTGGTAAGAATTACTTGCCTAAGAAAGTGGTGGCTGTGAATATATAGTAAATGTCTCGACCACCTCAATACTCTCAGTACAACAGAAGATTCCTATAGTTTAACTAATATTGTGTCCAAGATCCTGGGATCTATTGTTATCCATCACCTAACTGAATCTCCAGAAAAGCAGGCAGGTTTTACACCTGGACGAGGATGCATTGATCAGATTTCCATCCTCCGATAGATTCTGGAACACAGCCATACTTACAGGCGACCGAAACTACCATATTTCTCGACTTGAAGGCGGCATTCGACCATGTCGAGAGTGAAGTGTTGTGGCAGTGTCTTACTGTGAAGAGAGTACTGGACAAATACATAATGCTTATCAAAGCTCCCTAATCGAACTCAAGCAGCCGTGTCAGGGCTTATGCAGAGTTGTCGTCAGAATTGACGTTAACTAGTTGCGTTCTCCACGGATGTCCTATTTAACTTCGTCGTATACGTACTAAAGAGCATAAGCTTAGGTCCGTCTGACTTCATAGAGATTAACCTGCACCCTGGAGGCCATCTGGTTGATTAGGAGTACGCAGACAATTAAGTCCTGTTAGATGAAGGCGCTGACAAAATGTAGGGTCTTCTGAACACGTTCAGCAGAAATCTGAGTATGTTTGGCTGGCATGAGTTGCATACCTGTCAAATTTGAGATGATGCTCCATGACTGCTGCAGGTACTCCCAGTGTGATTACAGGGAGTGAAGTGGTAGAATGTGTTGGCTACATCACTTACTTGGAGAGTTGCATCAGCCCGAATGGGCTAGTAGCTGACAAAACCTCAGCTTGGATACTGAAGGTCAATTTGGCATTTGCTAAATTGTATCCTCCGTCACGTCGAATGATGAGATATCCGACTACGTATCAAAGGACGAGTACAGTGCGCTGCAGTTCGTTTTATCCCGTTGTGCGGCCATGACAGATGGCCATTAAAAGTAGAAGACAGGAAGTGGCTATGGGGTTTGATCATTTGTGTCTTCGTAGAATTGCTCGAGTATGGCGGAATCACCATGCGAACAATACTGAGGTCAAGTGAAGGGTCCTAGGCAAGGTAGGCAAGTCGATTGACGGTGTGAGCACAGTGCTCAGGATGGTCAGGTCAAGATGTAGCACCAGTCCCTGAGGTCTCTGATTGTTGGTCTTAGCTCCATGGGTGTGGAATATCTTGGTGAGGTCCACAAGACAATAGGAATCGATGGTCGCAGAACCTTAGTGACACGGCTGAAAATCGGTCACAATGGCTTAGATGTATTCCCTTTTTGACATCTTCCAGAGCTTGAATATTTTGATTTCATTTTCCGTTCATATTCTTCATTTTTAAACTCGTTTTCCTCCCATACACCTATTTCCACTCTAATATTACTCTTTTTCTATCCACTTGTTCGTTGTATACTGCTGTGAAGTGTGGCAACATGAACCGACGTACTTATATGTGGCGTTTTACGTTAATTTTGTTTGTCTGCCAAAAACTTCCGTATTCTCACGGATTTACGAACTTTTTGTATTCAGAATACGACGTTGCAAAAGTTAGTGACAAACAGACCGTATTATCACGACCAACAAAATAATTAAGTAATATAAGATCGTTTATGATTTGGCTTCAAATTAATGTACTACAAATTGTGGACACTGAAGGAAGCAACATACCAGATAACGTTGGTATAATAAAGATAAATTATACAGTCTCAACATGAAGAAGGCTACCTTATCTGCTTATTCAATGTAACCAGTGAATAAATAACAAAACGCCTCTTTATTAAACCAATCGAAAGTATTGAGTATTTTCGCCAGAAATGGGAGAGAGATAAAGTTAACATTTTGATCGCTTGCTTATTTCAGAATCTCAAGAAGTTAAATAGCTTGAAAATGATCGGATTCTAAAGTGAAAAGATGTGAACTGGTAGGAACGCTTTAAAGGTACATAAATTCTGACTGAAATTTTTTACAAACTAGCATATCTTTCATGAGATGAACTGCTACAAAATGTCACTTTAATCAGTTTAAATTCATCACGGGAGCCATAAATGCGTTATTACTAGGAACAGTTAGTATGTTTTAAAAACATAATCAAACCATCACCTTCGAAAGTAAATCACTTAATCCACTAGTTGAACTTCTACACCGATAACCTCAGTCTGCTATGGATCTGCTGGTCATTAGCGTAGAGAATTGACTTTTAACTGGAGGGTCACGGTTTTGAACTCCGCTTCACTTACCAAGTTTTAAAAAACCGTTATACAATAGATGTGGCTCAAAATAGCCCAGTGCATGAACCTGTACATAGTCGCTAAATAATAATAAATTCGAAATTAGCTTCGCACACCGACATCGTCTACTGAGAGGAGTGATATCGGCTACAGTTAAGTTTTTAGAACTGAAATTGTTTAAGCTAAAATGAAGTATCAGTTGATGAAGTATCTGACCGTTGGTCTTATTCGTGTAGCGAAATGTTAACTTACAAGCTGGGATCCACATAACAACGAAAAGTGATGTTTATCGATTCTAAGTAATATAGCTCAAAGTCGATCGCCGTGAGACATGCATCCACACTTTATCTTTAACCTAATTGTCATACATTTCACCACTTATTTTCCCTCTCATATCTTTAGAATTCCTACAAATTTTGATGACTTTTTTTTCAACTTTCCTGTCTCTTGTTTTGACACCTTGTGCCCTGATATACTGATGTCAGTGGGGCAAATTAGACTATCACACAGTAATACCAGGTCCCATATTGATATTGATTTGTTGACTAAACAAATGTAGCTACTTGGACAAAACTCATGGCCTTCTTCCCCTTAGTTTCTCTTTTATGATTCTTCAGTGATACGTAGATCCTAAAGTATGCAGATTAATGTGGTTCCTAGTTCTAATTTACAGAAAACATATTAATTCGGGTAACTGCTATCAGCAAAATACAACATACTTAAACAGAAGTAGTATGAAATGAGATATGAACCTATCATTTGAAAAACTATTTTGCTATTTTGGTAATGAAAACAATGAATAACATGTATGGAGTTTTAAATGTCAGCAATAAACAAGTGACTAACCTTCCAGTTACCGGATCGCCAACTTCAATCCAATGACTTGGAAGTGGATAACGACGTAGCATTCTGCTTTTAAGACGCATATTAGCCATATCAGTGTTAAACTTCCGACGTCCATATCGTTCGTAACAATATGGAGAACAGATATGATACGGATTAGTTTGATTGGGACACTCAGCACATTCATGAATTAGAATTCCATTCTCAATTATGGGAACAGGACTAACTGTGTGGCACTTTTTGACGCTAACAGGTTTGTCAAACGATACTGGCAATACAGGTTCACTTTCCTCATCATAATTTTCGGCAAAAACTTCCTCGACAGCTAAATGCTAAGATTAATATCTTGCTGCATCTACCTTCCTCTTGTGGGTCAGCGGCAACAATACCACGTTTCTTAAGTCGTGAAAGCAAAGCCGGTGGAAGAGGCATGATGGAGCAATCCTACAATAATAAAAATTTTTAAAAAAACAAACATGGAAATAAGCAGTTTGTATAATATTTATTTCAAATTGTCAGTAAATATAAGGAGTGATAAATGCCTTCATAATTCGGTGACGTTATATCTTGATATGATACCAGATGGCTCCCAGTGTGTATTCAAGAACATCAGCAGGCAGGAAATCTACAGAATTTAACTGGGAAAGGAATATCTTCAACTTCAATAATACAACAAAACCTATCTTTGGTGATGGTTGACTGTTAACCCATCAGTGGGCGATGTAAAATGAAACTCAACCTTGTACCGCTATATATATGCTAGGCTATAAAACAAAACTATTTGAGGGTTTATGATATTACCAAGTCGCGTAGGCCAAAGTAGGTGAGTTTGGATTCGATCTCTGAATTTACTGCTTGAAATTCACGTGCTTTAGCACATGAGTCACATCCCAACCGGCAAAACATCAACGATCGTCAAACACCTCAAACCTTCTCATGTCCTCTAACTTTAATCAACATGCTTCAAAGACATATGGCGGAAAACAGCAAACTACAGCTCAGTGCACTCAACCTTTATTAGGCAATCGGATATCCCAACTGCACCATAAATACTTCAAGTTAGTCAAGTCCGACCAAACGCTTTCCATCCCTCCAGAGATTTCCTCGATCACTCAACCACCAGGGCTCATTCAACTCCCCATGTAAGTGAAGTGGTCAGCGCGCTCAATCACTTCACTCCCTACAGACTAACCAGGAAGACCACTCCTGGAGCCCGTGTCCAACACCACTCGACGTACGCAACTCACCATAAGCTCTGAAATCTTCACACAATTCCCAGTACAGAACCTTCAAAAGAGTGATGCACCTGCCCAAAACACCCTTCAGTCAGATACACTGCCACAAGACCTCTCAAACGACGGAGTAGCCACAGTCCGTAAGTCTGTCTGTGTTGCAATACTTCCCAGAGGGTGAATATCTTTTCCATATACCACCACTGACGAAATCTGAAACCTGACTGGTTTTATCGGATTCCATGCTTCCAATTTCCACTGCCATCTATAATGACTACACAAGCAAGAATCTTCAACATTTCCACCACACACTTTCACCTCTGGTTATCACTGGAGAACTTCTCGATTCAGTGATTCAGACCAGTCAGAGGGGATCATACTTCATTCCTAAATACTAGCTAACAATTAGGTTAACCTGACCTAACAAGTTAACCTCAACTACAATCCCTTAAATACCTCCCGTGTCAGTCCATCTGGTTTTGATGCCCTTCCCCTTCTCTGGTTACCCACAGCCATCTCAACCTCGGTAACACTTGGAGACCCCACCTCGATGTTTCATTCACAATCCCACTGGATAGTGGGCAGTGGAATGGTAGCTAAAGCTCAGATGGACTGATCATCGAAGGATTCCTTCCATCCTTCGAATTCGTTTTCCCTCTAAGTGAACTTCAGAAATGTTCTTCTGCGTCATTGTCTCACTATCCACTGACATCTCTGCCCTAACACTCCTGATACGTCTCAGTAACCATCTACCACTACCCAATACAACGGCCTTTGTCACCCCTTCATCAGCTTCGAGTCCCCACCATTGTTCATAGTCACTGCACCCACTGTGTCAGTCCACATTTGGGTTGCTTCCGCTCTGCATTGTGCTCAGATCCAGCAGAAACGCGTTTACGTGCATATCTCAACTCCCCAGTTGAAATCCACTAACCTTTTTCACCCACTCTGCGACAAGCAGCTAAGGTTTTTAATGCTGTTTTTGTAGCAGATTGGAGATGACGGCAAGCTTCATCTGAATGAATAGTGTTGCTCCGTCCCGAAAACTCTCCAGTCCGCTTCATGCCGAAAGTAGCTTTAGTTTTCGATTTCTCGAGCTGCACTCGTAATGATCTTGTTGTTTTAGATTTCCTACATCCATTTAGGTGCAGAAATAGGCGTGCTCAAACGAACCTTTGATTGTTGTGCTCCAGAAGGAGCGGCAATCTTGTGCTAAGCATCTGCAAGGATAGCTGATACAAAGGTGGTCTAAATGTGTTCACCCGTAGTTTGGGCTTCGTGAACTGTTTTAACATGCGTAATGTGATGCTTAGAATTTCAAATGGTAAATACGAATGTGAATAAACAGACGAGTATCCTAATGAAAATGCTATTTTGGATAATAATAACAATAAGGTAAAAACCAGAAATGTTGCAGCATGAATAAGTCAATGAACCTGTTTTTGGTTAGCTTAGGAGCTTCCAATCGTGTGGATAAAAGCAAGTAAGTGGTCCTAGTGCTTCAACAATCCTCGAGTGAAAATAAGATACAAAATCCATTTCAGTATAAAGTGAGAAATTTCCGAATACATCAAAGAGGTGTCTATATTTTGCTATTCCACTAGAACACAGCCTTTTCCAAAGCTATCACAAACTGTGAACTGATTTTTTTGCGGTTTACAGGATATTGTTTGTAACTATGAATTCCATTAAGTTCAGGTCAGAAAGACAAAGTAAATACAAAACCTTGTGACTTGTCGGAAGTTAGTGCTGGCTGAAAATAGGTTGTGATCTGTCCAAAGCTGCAGAAGAAGTTTTATTATTTCACTCGCAGTCCACCAATAAACACTGGCCACATAAAATACCGTTCTCTAGGTCTACACTCCTGACCTGTTCATGATTTATGCCTCCGGCTGGCACTACGATACCTGAAGAAGCACCTTGTAGAAGTCATTCAGTTGATGCTTGAACACATTCTTAACTGCACACAAGCTGCAGTCAGCTGCACTGAGGGCAAAGATGAAGGAGAATTCTTTCAGCTTGCTAGTTAGATTTCACTCCTACAGTGTCTTCCAGCACTACAGTACAAAGATGACTATTTATGGGGATTCAGTCGACAAGTGCATCCTGAGCTCTGGAAATTGGACATTGGTTAGCATGCCACGGAGTCCTAGGAAAGCCGTAATCACAATACTTTTTTGAGTCGACTGATGGCGAAGTTACTCAAAAAACTTCACTAAGATCTATTCGAGTACATAACAAAGCATTCATCGACAGTGCGGCTTTTCAGAGTTGTAGTAAAATCTATCCGCTGTGTGATCTCCATAAAGGACAAATAGTTGAAGACAGCCACAGTAAGGAGAGCAGGCGGATTCACGGTATTTCTAAGCAAAACCGTAAAGCAAGAGACTGACTAACCAAAAAATTAACGTAGAACCCCGCACACAGGTGCATTGGTTCAAGTTGCTACATTTTACTGTAGTATGCAAAGAAAGAGTTCACAGAAAAAGACTGATATCAAAGTAGATAAAGTTGTGTGAGGAGAAAGATAATTAGAAGATAAACATTAGTGAAAATACTCAATCTTTAGATGTCAACGAGTGAATACGTTTGCGCCAATGTGACCCATTTTCAGCCATGTCACCAGGGTTCTCCAACCATTGATTCCTATTGTCTCAGGGACCACAACCAGGTCACCTACATCTCCCCAGACAGTTCAGACTAACAGTGAGCGACCTCATCGACTGCGACAGGTTCCACACTTATCTCTGCTCATTTTCAATACAATCTGCGACGAGATACGACGTTAAAGTTGGGAAGGTATTGAAGACAGAAATGCAGACGAAATAAATGTAGGAACTAGTGAAATTGACAGATCTACGTAGAATTTATTCCTTTCATCATCCGAAATACAGTCGGTGGGTGCGTAGACGAACATTACGAATAGACAACGCCTAGTCTCACAATCCTTCCTGATCTATACATATCCATTCAATGCCAAGCAGAAGGCTATTGACTGGTATCTAATCGACCAGTATACTTTCTGCTCTACAACTCAGTGTTATGCCTACACCAATCATTGCACCTCCGGATACTCTTAGCATAAATTTTGAAGATTCATGACTATCGTCTGTTGAGATCAATTTAATAGCTTCACTCAGGTCCTGTATATATATCTGATACACAGCACACATCCCTCGCTAGAGATTCCAGAGTTCTGACGAGCAATGATCGCTTTTTGATTTAAGAGAGTTTGAACATTGAAAGCTCCTACATGAAACCGATCCCAGGGTTTTGAGAAACTAGGAATGAAGTTTCGACAGCTTTGATCGTTGGCAATGGTTACCGAGAGGTTGGGATAAGGTGTGCGAGGCCTACTATTAATATCAGGAGGTAAAAGCAAAGACAAAGTTGAGGAGGACAGGTCATGTTTGATTCGATCTCCAATACCACTGGAAGCATGCGCGTGGTTGATACTTCCCAGTTGCCCACCACGTGGAAGGCAACTTTTCCCAAGGTACTTGGAACAGAAAAAGATTTGTGTGGCTGCAGAGCCCATGGGATATCTGCTTGAGGCTTGTCACACAATCCTTTGGGGATTGTGAGATTTTCTAATCCCCTTCGCTTCCTACCAGGTAGACAGCATCAGCGTTGCGCTGCTGACCATCCAAGTGAAACACCTTACTGATGTCACAACGCCATCCAGTCAGCAGTATGACTTCGCCCTCAGATCCCCATCACAGTGTAGCGATTCGCACTGTAACCGTAACTGCTTTTCGTCTTACCGCTACCCAACAGAACTTCCTAGTAAGACAGGACCTCGTGGGAACAAGCGTTTCACCAGAAGAGCTTGTTAAGTCATTGTGATATGCAAGCTCGACCACCACGTCAAGATAGCAGATATCAGTCGGAAGATATGGAAGAAACTGTGGCCTCGAATTCCCACGAGCAAGTGAGTATATATATCCGATTTTGTATCCACTGTCTGTTAGCCCATTTAATTTTTCGACATTAGCTGTCAAAATTTACGGACTAGCGCAGAGATGATGAAGAACTAACTGAAAATATATATCTTTGTTGTCTGTCATTTTTGGTAGGAATTCCCATTTAAAATGAATCGAAAGAAAACCACAAAATTAACGGTTTTCACACATGCTTAGGGAGTTGACAAGGTTTCTGGCTACTTTCTTCTGCAGAAAGTAAACGTACATGAAACAAAGATATTTATGCATGTAACCGAAAAACTGAACAGAGCCGAAATCCACTCAGCAACGTTGTGCACATTCTTGCAGTAGGCGGTGAGCCACACCTGTTGCGTGAACGTTAATGATGCTTTTTAGTTGTAAAAATAACTCGGTAGGTGGAACAATGTTCGAACCCCCAACCGACCGCCTGGAAGTCAGTTTCCTGAACAAATAAACCACAACTCTAAGTGACCATGTGGTCAAAAAACAAGGTCATCCGAGCTATGACATGCATGTAAATGAGCCTTCAACTGATTCCCTATCACTTCTGAATTGATTGTATGGACTGAAGAATTATTTCAGAATGAGAATTTAGAAAAGATAATATTTTCATAACATTCGATATAAGGTAAAGACTTATATATTTCAAAGTGCAAAACTAAAAATTACTTCATTGGTACTGTGAACTTACATCGAACAAACGATAGGGTTAGGTCTTAAAGAAGGGTTCTGGTTGGATTTTATCGTGTACAACCTCATACAGGGGAATAATATAGTCTAAATTTTTTGTGCATATCATTATCCTACTTGGGAAATCCAGACATGAAAACCGCTCAGAACCAGAGAATAGTGCGGCGATAATACGAGAAATAATTCTTTCCGTTTCAACCAAGATTATCATCACCGAAATTGTCCACAAGCCTATCCATAATTAGGGAAATCGTTCCAATAATTTAAAGTTACCTAAAAACAACTACACGTTTGGTTTCAGCATAACTGGCCACCTTAAGAAGCTTTGGTAGTCTTTCAAAGAAGGCAAAGGTCAAGTTTTACTAAGTAATTGTAGATACTTATCAGGAAGAACTAAAATTCAGAAACAACAAGTGTGTCAGCCGGCTGATAAGTTTCACAGTCTTCACTTTCAAATAATGAACAGCAAAAACAAGTCTGCCAGGTGAAATATATACACTTGGAGAATTATTTAGTTCGTCAGACATTAAAAAACGATAACTGACTGAACCAAAACAAATGAGACGACTAGGTGTCTTAAATCATAGAGAGATGAAGTGAACTGCCTAGACACTAGCGTCTGTCAACCATCTGAATCATGCACTGTACCAGTGACTCAACACGGTTCGTAATTGCCAACCATGTCCTATTTTCTAACAGAAAAAAGGGGTAAGGAACCCAAATGATATGCTCTCTCTCTCTCTCTCTATCTCTCTCTCTCTCTCTTGAGATCAGTCTATATCATGAAAGTCTGGCTATCATGCGAATTACGGTAGGGGTGGCGTTTAGAAGTATGTGGTTAATATGACCATCGCCAAGCAACCAAAGTCTCGAAAGCAAACATTTTTGTCGCTCCAAAGCTCTAAACTTCCGCATGTGTTTTCTGACTCCAGTCAGAAAACACAGGAAAAAATATAAAAGCTCTACAATTATATACTACGTTGTTTGTTATATATGTCACCCAGTGCTTAAGTTTTACTCCAGTATTAAAAAACTTTGTGTGAGTAAATTCATGCAACTATAGTTCGTTCAGTACAAAAACAGCATTAGGTGTCACAGAACACCAATAGCCCCCTTTATGAAGTGAGTAATTCACTTTGGTTTCTGATAAGTAAGCCGCAAACATTAACTCACCACTTTTATGTAGTGCGTCCGAAAGTTACACTTTAACAGAATATCCCGCGCCTCTACACGCAGATTTCAAGCTGTAACAAATGGTTGTACAACATCCAATAGCAAATGTGTGAACGCAGGGAACTGATAGTTTTTGATCTCTCGCATCTGGTTCTCGTGCCTTGTTTCTTGCTGTTCAGTTTTCTCCCGAGGTGAGCAAGGGATTCTCTTCTGTTCCTTTTATTTTAGCTCCTGTGAGATAAATGATTTTATGGGTTGACAATTGCAATTCGTTGATTAAGATGGTTACGGAGCTACGTGTTGCTTCGAGTATTATCATTCTCAAGTGAATTCCTATCTATCTGAATAGGAATATAAGGAAAATAGGGAAAGGTATATGGGAGTTACCCGAAATGTAAAAGTAGGTGTTGTGTCTGGTTACTAGAGAAGATTTAGGAGGTAATGTAGGTGTTTCATAGAGAGACAGGAATGCTGAGTGGTTGACAAGAAGGAAGTATTGGTGGACTATTGGCTCCAGAAATAGCCCGAGTACTTTGGTAGTGGGCTATGCTAACTAACGAAATTGTTCAAACACTTGAACAAGTCAACTGAGGAGTCAGTGCATACACCCCAGTGTTGAGCATTCGGTTGGGCGCATACTTCTATAAAGTAACATTTTCAGCTGAGTCCGGTGTCAGCTCTCCGACGCGCTTTCTTTCCTGCGTCCTTTCTTGATGACCGCCAAGCTGCAGGTAAGAATAGTTTATTTGAGTCACTTGCCTGCTGGACAGTCCTATACGCCACAATAAGTTCATCACGCTTTCCGTGATAACCCACAGAAGATGCGCTTGGGCCGTTCAACCTGCCAGATTACGTCTCCTTCCTCATGTAAGAGTGCGGGTTACAATTCCATAAGGTTTGATCAACCTCCCTCAACTTGATGTGCTCCAATACCTGCTTAACCAGTACTTTACCTAACGTGTGAGTACTGATAACAAGACACGAATCAAAAGAACTGATATGCAATGTACTCGAAGGAGCTATGTATTTAATTAAAGCAAATGTAATAATAAAGGTTTAATCAACTCAACTGGCTTGTGAGGCTGAACTAGGGGCTCGGAGTACGTGCGTGGTAATCAGCACAATGGAGCGCGAAATGGCGTCCAAGCCTGCTCGGATGCATGCTCGTCAAAACAAAACTTAAAACACCCTAAGCATCCGGAGGCAAGCTAGAGGTTTATTTAGTTACCTTAATTTAAACCATTTATTTTAGCCCTAGTTGTATTTTGGTGCCAGGAAGGTGCACTACAGGTTATCCCCCTTCCTAGAAGACTGTTGGGATACCGGCAGCCTTCGATCCTAGGAGACGACTGTGAGACGGACACGCAACACTTTTCCATGTTGGTGATGAAGTAGGTGACGTGTGGGTCTCCGAAGCTAGTGCAACTATGCACACCCACGAGGTAAGAGAACTTTGCGTCTAGACGCAACCCTTCTCGCAGTGGTGGAAGGTGACCCAAAGCCTCCGTCTACTTTTCCCTAGTGCTTCGTAATCTACCGGGGAGTACACAAGGGGAAATTGGTACAAAGAGAACCGAAGAACGATCCAAGTAGCATCGCCAGCTGCCAAGTGCATCCAATTTTCAACTCATTTCCTAGGTTCTGCAGGAAGAAAGAAATAGGACATTAGAGTGCTAAGAAAAGAAAATACCAAACAATTCAAGGTAGGGGTAGTACAAAAAACTAATAATAACCAACCAAAAAAGTTTTTGGAGTTTTAATTGCATTTCTGATGTTTTTGTTTTCAAAAAAACTGTTTTCAAAGTAGTGAACAAAACTTGTGAAAACTTTAGATATGAAAACGCATTGATGGTGCATGCCACTATAAAAAAATTTAAACTCTGAATTAACAGGTGTGAAGCTGCACTGGGGCTAATTAACGAAGTCGGCGTATCGTTTGGGCCAATGTACACGCCTGCCAGCACGTGCAGAGGGTACTGGATCAGTGCTACTAGAGGTGGCTCTTTTAGAAGATTCGAGGTACGCACAACTAGACGAGTCTGTTTTGGAGTCTGGCGGCAAGGGTTGTTCTAGTTGTGTTGGTGTAGAGGAAGGTGGGTCGTCCTCTGCATAGGCTGCCTTCAAACGGTCGACACTTATGGAACCCTGCCGTCCAGATCTGTTTATGACGAAAAACTTTTCTTTCTTGCAGGGAACCTTGAAAGTTCCGTCGCATGGTGGCTGTAAGGGTTCACGTACACCGTCACAACGCACAAAGGCATGCGTGCAATCTTGGAGTCTTTTATCCAACTGCACCCGTCTATAATGTATCCGTGTGGATGGGGTTGGGGGCGACGCATGTGTAACTTAAGAGTTTGCGCATAGCCATGGACATCAGTAGGAGTTGGGTCACTACAATCTGAAGCGACCATCTCACCCGGCAAACGTAAGTTACTGCCGTAAACTAACTCAGCAGGTGTACACCATACATCCGTCTTGAGTGTAGAACAAATGCTGAGAAAAACCAACGGCAGAGACTCAGTCCATTTCATATTGTCGACTGCCATTAGTGCGCTTTTAAGGTGTCGGTGGAATCGTTCCACCAAACCATTGGAAGCTGGGTGATATGCGGTAGTGCGGATGCGTTTGCATCCCAACAGATTCATCAGCTTCTGGAAGGTAGCGGATTCGAACTGTTGGCCTCTGTCGGTTGTCACGGTGGAAGGGCATCCAAACTGTGAAACCCATCCTTCGACGAAGACCCGACTTACTGTTTCGGCAGTAATGTTAGACAATGGGATGGCTAACGGCCAGCGAGTAAACCTATCGACACATGTCAGTAGGTAACTATATCCATCGGAGGGTGGAAGTGGGCCGACAATGTCTAAGTGGACATGAGCGAATCGTGAGTCCGGTTTGGCGAAAGTTCCAAGTGGTGGGATGTTGTGACGATTCACCTTGGAACGTTGGCACTGAATACATGACCGTGTCCAGTTTCGAACATCACGGTTAATACCAGGCCAAACAAACCTAGCAGATATGAGTTTGTCAGTGGCACGGATGCCAGGATGCGAAAGATTGTGCAAAGCATCAAAAACATGCTTACGCAAGGGTAAAGGAACAACCGGTCTGGGTGTGCCTGTGGAGGTGTCGCACAATATTGACACTTCACTGTTCAGGAGCGGTAAACGCTGTATCTTCAGAGAGGTGAGTGTTGAAGTTTTTCAATCTCCTCGTCTGAATCCTGAAGTTCGGCAATCTTCCGTAAGTCGACTGCTCGAGGCAAAGTAGTGGTGCAAACGCGAGACAGTGCGCCTGCGACAGGGTTATTCGACCAGAAATATGACGGATGTCCGACGTGAATTGCGAAATATAGTCTAGGTGACGTAATTCACGCGGTGAATATCTGTCAGTGGTGGTGTGTAAGGCATACGTCAGAGGTTTATGGTCGGTAAAGATGATGAAATCACGACCTTCCACAAAGTGACGAAAATGCTTCACTGAGGCATATATGGCGAGCATTCCCTGCCAAAAGTGCTGTACCGCATTTCGCAGGTGGATAACTTCCGGGAGAAGAATGCAACTGGGATCCAAGTGTGATCCGAAAGTTGTTGCAACACAGCTCCAATGGCCGTGTTAGAGGCGTCAACCGCAATGCTAAGAGGTAGGTTTACGTCTTGATGCACCAGCATCGTGGCGTCTGCTATTGCGGTTTTGATCTTGCGAAATGCTTCTAGTGCCTCAGGAGTCAAGCTGAAAGTTTTACACTTACTTTTCAGCAGGTCGGTCAGTGCAGTCAAAATGTGCGCACACTGGGGAACGAAGCGACGATAATAGCTCACCATACCCAGAAACGCACGCAGAGCTTTAAGTGACGCTGGGACTGGGAAGTCTTGGATCGCCTGTACCTTTTCAGGTAGTGGGCGAATGCCTTGCTCGTCGATAACGTGTCCCAAAAATTTTAGTGAACGAACGCCAATCTGGCATTTGGCCAGGTTGACTGTCATCGAATGCTCTGACAGTCTGGCGAAAACCTGTTTCAAGTGGTTAAAATGAGTGTCTTCGTCTGGACTAGCGATTAGTATGTCGTCTAGGTAGGCATAGGCAAAGTCGAGTCCACGTAAAACATCGTGAATAAAACGTTGGAAGGTTTGTGCTGCATTGCGAAGACCAAAAGGCATACGGAGGAACTCAAAAAGACCAAACGGTGTAATGACGGCTGTCTTGGGAACATCATCAGGATGAACCGGGATCTGATGATATGCACGCGTCAAGTCAAGCTTACTGAAGATAACCGAGCCTTTTAAAGATGCAGTCAAGTCGTTTATGTGAGGGACTGGATAACGATCTGGAATCGTTTTAGCGTTGAGCCTTCGGTAGTCACCACAAGGCCTCCAGTCCATGCCATTGTTCTTGGGTACCACATGCAAGGGTGAAGACCATGGACTGTTGGATGGTCTGATTATTCCCATTTCAAGCATGTGTTTCAAACTCGGCTTTTACAGCACGCAGTTTCTCCGGGGATAATCGCCGTGGTTTCGCAAACACTGGCGGGCCAGTCGTCGTTATGTGATGAGAAACGTTCGAAGTCACACAAGGTACACAACGACTTGGCTTAAAGACATCCGGAAAGGACTGAATGATAGACGCGTAGGGACTAGAAGCGTCCGTCGAGGAGTACACGGGACTGAGGGGCAGTGTCTTTGTGACAATACCGGAGAAAGAGAGTGTTGTGGTAGAATCTATCAACTTATGCTTGCCAGCATCTACCAGCAGCTGATAGTGCTGTGAGAGATCCATACCAATAATGCCGGTGGTCACCATGAAGACCCAACGGAAGGAACGACGCAATCCAAGATTGAGGTCGGGGAATCTACGACCATAGGTTGTGATGGGTGAACCATTCGCTGCACGAGGTTGCAGAGACATTGGCCGCAGACGCTCTTCCTTCGTAGGTGGGATGACGCTAGCTTCTGCCCAAGTGTCAACTAGGAAGCGTATCCCAGAATGTCGGTCAGTGACGAAGAAGTGGCGACATGGAAGTGGCTTGCCAGCGACGTTAGTCGCCGTCACGTGCTGGATCACACGTTTCCCACCTGGTTAGCCTCGAAGGTGCAGGGTGGAGTGCACCTTTTGGCATTGGCACTATAACGTTTATGGTACCAGCACAACCTGGGTCGCGATTGTCGCGATTTGGAACGCCTGCTGTTGGCACGGGAAACAGGTCTGTTGCGCAAGCAGGATGTGCGACCGTTGAAAGAACTACCAGACCCCATTTCTTTCCTGATACTGCACGACTGCTCATACAATTTAGAGATGTGAGCTGTAACATCGAAACTTGTTGGCTCACCAGCCGAGGGAGGATGTGGGTTTTTGGACAGTGGACAGTGCAGCTGAGATACTAGTGCTAGGCTTCGTAGCGTCCACAGCTCTGTTAGCCGCTTGAGCCAGCTCTATTAAGGGAAACTTATGGAGGGGTGAGAGGATCTCTTGCACCGACTGTGGTAACCTCTGTAACCACAGTTGCTTGAAAAATGCTTCATCAATTTTGAAGTCAGCAACCAGCTGCTTCATCTGACGAAGCAGTTGCGTCGGCTTACGATCACATAGATGCACATCTCTGAAAAGTTCTTGCACTTTCTACTGGTCAGTAAGTGCAAAGCGTTTGGTGAGGGC